CAAGTGAGCCAGTCCCTTTTTTTTTTTTAATTTTCTTAAAGAATTTTTCTTGGTTTGAAGATTTTATTTTCTGGGTGTATTATTTAACACGGGAGCTTGACTCGGAGCTCGGCCACATGATGGTCATGCCGCACTCAACGAGTTAAAAGATTTCACGAGGTGTGTAATAATGTAATATTTTATTTTTTTCGTCCGATTTCAGTCAACTTTGACAACACGGTGGGGGCAGTCGGCTTCCTGCCGCGGTTCCTGCCCGAGTTCATATACCCGATAGGCTTCGTCAGGGTGGACCAGGACAGCGGGGACATCATCAGGGGCCAAGACGGACTGTGTCAACGCTGCGATATCAGTATGGGGCCGCCTCGAACAGCCATATTTATGCCTAATTTATCTCACGAGAGTCGTAATCCAACGTGCGCCGTTGTTATGTAGATGAGCCGGGCATGCTCGTCGGCTACATCAGCGACTCGGACCCCTCCCGGGAATTCCATGGATACCTGGACAAATCGTCGTCGGAAAAGAAAATTCTGCGCGACGTCTACGTAAAGGGCGACAAGTGGTTCATGACTGGTGAGCAACAGAAACTATCGTGAAGCACAGGGGGGACGAATGAAACTAGTGCCGTGCAATGATGAACACCGAAATCAATATGCTGTGTTCCAGGCGATATTCTCGTGATGGATGAGCTGGGCTACATTTACTTCAGAGACAGAACGGGCGACACGTTCAGGTGAGTTGAGTTGTACGTCGATCTGGATCTGTCTCTACGGCTCTGCACTGTGGTGACGACCGATTGGCTCTCAAGGTGGAAGGGCGAGAACGTGTCCACGGCCGAGGTGGAGGCCGTCGTCAGCGCCGCCGTGGGCGAGAGGGACATCGCCGCGTACGGCGTGGAGGTGGCCGGCTCGGAGGGGCGGGCGGGCATGGTGGCCATCGCCGACCCCAACGGCACCCTCGACCTGGACAAGCTGGCCAAGGAGGTGGACCGACACCTGCCGTCGTACGCGAGGCCGCTCTTCATCCGAACGGTCCCGAGGATCGAGAAGACGGGCACGTACAAGATCGTCAAGGTCAACTTGCAGAAGCAGGTGAGCAGACGCGACCCTGGGCGTTCGTGGTGCGCGCGCACCCTCACCTTCCGCGTTCTCTGGCGTTCTCGTTTGCTCATCACGCTGTCTGTTCCAGGGGTACGACCCAGCCGCGGTGAGCGACCCGCTCTTCGTCCGGCAACGAGACGGATACTCGCCGCTCACCGCGCCAGTGTTCCAGGACATCGTCTCCGGGAAGCTGCGGCTGTGATGTCCCGGCCCGGCCCTTGCCAGGCTCACCGCGCCGTGCGTGCAGCGCGCGCAGAGCGACACTCTCCACTGTGATAAAACACTGCCGTCGTGTGGTCATCGTCTCCGCGGGGCGGGGGAGGGCGAGGAGCACCCGAAAAGGCAGGTACTTGGGCAAAGTGCATTGTGTCGAAACAAGTGCATGCACTCGAATAAACTGAGTGCAACCACTTGTTCTAAGAAAATGATTTTAAAAAATGCACTTGATTCAAGGAACTGCTTTTTTTTGTGAGGAGCTCCGAGAGGCTCGGCCCCTTGCCCGAGACGCAAAGAAGGATCGCCGCGGTTGCAACTTCTTGCCCCAAAAATTATATTTTTATTGTTCGTGTTTTTTTTTGTATCCGCATACTCAATGGAATCGCATGATCGCGGTATCATATTTTCCCCTCCCTTCTCCAACTTTGAGTGCAACGCTCAATACCTACCAGGTGGCTGATTGACCACGTGCTTGTCTGGTTGTCTCCTCCCCTCGGATCAAAAGGCGTTGTAATCAAATCAGGGGCGATATGCAGGCGCGCCCCCAAACCTGACCGAGTGCGATAAGTGCTCGGGGCTAATCAGCCACCGGGTTATTCAAACCATTAAAGGAGACATGGTGTGAACAACGACTGACAAATGAAATTAAAAGCGCTTAATACTTGATTTACATTTTCTCGTCTCTCTTAATTGGAGCGTCTATGACGCAGATCAGTCACACACGAGCAACTGAAGGAGTGAGCAAACTCGCTCCGGGGGGAGCGATGCTGTGAATCCAATTCCAATTTCATCCAACTGTTTCTCATTTTTTGTGATGCTTTAAAGCATTTACATTTGTGGCAATATGAACCCTCAATTTCATAATGAGTCATTTTGCTAAGATCGCTCCAACAGAGCGATGAAAACATACATTTGGCAAAAGAAATAACTAGAACTTTTACAGTGAGGCGATGGGTCTCATGCAATAAATAATAACGAGGTATTGGACAAGCTTGTCATCTGTTCTCGAGTGCTGCAAACAATGCCCAACTCCCGGCGATACTCCGAGCTCCCGACCCCTCCACCGCCAGGGGTAGCGCCTATACGGTGATAGAACGAAACGGGCGAAATATTGACTCGAGGGACGCATGTCGGGTCAGGGATCGCCCAGTTAGTTCGTCCGTCATTTGTCGTTTCAAACCTGCCAAGGCCAGCCTCTTCAGGCGCTCATAGCGCCTCGATAGGTAGGCAATATCTTGCCTTCAGTGCATGCGAGTACTGCAGGGTGGCCTACGCTGAGTTTCGCAGGCGCCAAGCTCCCGCAATATGCTGAATGATAGTCTGAAGAAAACGGATGTTCTTTCTGGACGATCCCTTTCCTGTAACACGTTGAGTCCGAG